TTTAGATAAAATTTATTACATTCATTATTATTTTATCTCATCCTATTATTCTTATATAATATCTATCATGATTTTTTTTAAATAAAACTAATAAAACTATCAAGAATATTCATTACAATGATTTATTGAATCGCATTCTGTCTAAAATAACGTCAGACATAAACAACATTTCCAGATAATAAAATGTATCGATTTACATAACTATTTCTAGATTACATGCCGTGTAAAACGAACTTTGCCATATTGTTCCGTGACAGTTAATTATCATTATCGAATCAAAATATAAATTCGTATAAACTATTTCTAATATATTTATTGGATAAATAAGCCCTCGCGTATTACTTATTATAATGTATATAATTTATTACATTATATTATATATTATAGTTAAACTTGATGATAATTATATGTAGAACATTAATTTTAAACTCACGTAAGGTAATAATCAAAAATATATGAATATTAATTAGATATAAATGCAAATTAAAGAACTGTTGCAGCTGTTGCAACTTATTACGTTAAGATTACAGGGTATACACCGAGAATACTGTAAATGAGTGAGAACCATATAGTGCATAGGTTTCAAAAGTTTTCTTCTCAAGATGAATCACTTTAAAATTAGCCTCGGGATATAGATCCGAAATCATAGTTAGCTACAAAGTTTTCAAGACTACGGTAATAGAAAATCCTTGTCGGAGTTCTCGAGTACTTACAGTTAGAAATAATGTTGGATAAATGGGTTGCCTATTTCAGTAAATTATGACACATTAAGAGGGATTAAGTTTAAATATAGATATTTAAATCGTTTCGATTTAGAAAATGCGACGAAAAAAAATAGATAAAAATAAATATTTCTATCTTACAATAATCCTTGCCATAAAAAAAAATAAAAAATTAAAAAATGATGAATTTTTATATTCAACACAAATCAACCAAAACGTATTCGCAAATACGTTTAAAATGAATTTTCAATAACATGATAATTGATTGTGATTTCTATATAGTTATGTACTTTGAAGAAGGAACTAAGGCCATCAGTTACGCAAGGTTTCACAACTCGTCCAGGAGTTCAAAGGACTTTGTCCCAAGGAACAGGAAGTTTAGCAAGTGGTATGGGATATTATGGTCTTTATCCCGAAATTCAAGGTTCACTCGTATCCTGTTCGCTTGGTTTACGAGGTATTACCGAAGGTTCCATTGAAATGCAGAAAATTAAAAAAGTTCAAAGCTTTTTCCGTGGCTGGCTTTGCCGTAGACGTTGGAAACAAATCGTCGAACAATATATCAAGAGCCCACATGCAGAGAGTATGCGCAAACGGAACAGGTTTGTTTTACTTTATTTCAATTTTCTATTTTCACTAACGCTATATATCTTTCTCTTTATCTTTATCTTTCACAGAGAGACACACATACGCACACATTCATCAATTGTCAGCTTTTCTAGTTCCCATAGCAATATGTTATGCATGTATGCACATGCAATATAACGTCTCTCTGTGATCGTTCTATTTATATTTCTCTTATTTTTTTGGTTACTTTCGTTACACTTCCTCTATTTTTTTTCTTCTTTTTTTTTCATCTCAACCAACCAGTGCGCAATTTACGTCGCCTGCATCCGGCCAATTCAGTACAACCGATTTCAATCGTTACCTACAAATTTCCATAGTACCTTTTTCCGAATAGCGAAAAGCAAATCGCGACTATTTCAACGTGATTTCCTATTCCACCAGAATATATGTATCTAGTTCAATAGAACGATTTAATCCCCTTCCTCTCCCCCACCTGCATGTTAACATTAGATTATCACCGTCAAGAGACTATCTATATTATTTGATGGAAGGATTAATAAGCAACGTTTGAATTTCTTCCCTAACTAATATACAAATATTATTATTTAATAATAATTTATTTATTAAATATAATACAAGAAATCAATAATCTTTTGAAATAATTATATTCGAGATAGAATATTATTGATGATCATTTAATTTGATTTAATTTGATTTGATTTGATTTCGAGTAACTAATAATTCGAAGAAATAGTTATATTACCTATTAACACGCATAGTTAGAGGTGTACACGTACGTCATTTGCATCGTTCTCGAAACGTCGATCCTGCGATCCGACCTAAATGCAGGCGCCGGAAAATTTATCGAATTACATGCTCGAAGATGCATTAATTGTAGTCACCGTTTAGGTCCGTTGGGATAGATAGAAAATTATGCAGAGAAACATTTTCTTTCTAACTTTATCGATAAAAGGAATACAACAATGTATCTTAATTAGGGTATGAATATCATCAAAAATTTTATTTGTTAAAATCGATCAGATATTAAACGAAGCATTTTATTAATCAATGACAATTAGGAATCGATTAATCTTGTATATAGATTCATTGTCCATGAAAATTAATTTCATACATTTTAATGGAACTGATTAGAATCGATGATTAGGAGGCTATTGTTTATATACGACTAGAGCTACTACCTGTTGAAGCTAATAACCTGAACGGCTTTGTACTTAACCTCCTATCTCTCTGTTAAATGTTTGACCGATCGATCCCAACCAAAGAGAGACCATATATACAGGGGTTTCTATACACGTATCTCAGAGAATCACTGAAATTCGAGTAGGAGAACCCCGAAAAGTAGAAAAGAATTGGGAGAAGGGGAAATCGATGGTATTCCTTTTATATATATTTCATATATATATAGAGAGAGAGATCGCATATATGTGTCTGTGTGTTTCAGCTTGGTGTTTCAAATGGTTGAGGCCGAGGAAGAATACACGGAACAAATGGAGATATTGGTTAGCTGTTTCCTGAGGCCTTTCAAAATGGCTGCCAGTTCGAAGAAACCCCCATGTAGTCACGAAGACGTGAATAGTATATTTTTGAATAGCGAAACAGTACTGTTCCTTCATCAGATCTTCCTGAAGGGTCTTACTTCTCGCATGGAGAGCTGGCCCACTTTAGTTTTAGGTAAGTTACATGAAATATTTGTTTTTTTTCTTCTTTTTTTTTTTTTATTGGTTTCCGATTTCGAAAAAAATTTGAATTTATTTTTATTTAAAATATATAGCAATTATAAAAATGACAATATCAGAGAAATATTGATACATTGTATTCATTCTTTTTATTGGAATCACGAAGAGTTTATTGCTTCAGGTGTTATCCACCTGGCAAACGTATAAAAGGTTGACAAAATTTAATATAATACGAAATACGTTTTAAAATGTACAAAAAAAAAAAAAAAAAAAAAAAAAACCCAGAATCCCTGAAGATATTTGATTGTCCGCGTGTTTTATTACAATAAATATATTTATTTTATTATGCTCGAATTTTGTTCAACCGCAGGTGACTTGTT